AGACTTGTTCTGGAATATTCTGCCTCTATCCCTTTATGTTGCTACATCTTCCACTCAGCTTCTCTTCCTCTCCAGCAATCCTTTGTGCAGAGACCTCCATTTCTCAAGACTCAGTTCAAATAATCCCAAATATGTAAAGAATATTCAAAGCTCACGTTGGAAGGTGGGCCTCCTCCAACTAGAGACTTTTCAATTCAAAATTCTGTAATCCCCTAACCAGGCAATCCTCAGTGAGTGGATATTGTATTATGCTGCCCAAATCCCTTCGCCAGGGCCAAGGTACTATGGTCTCAGCATCTGGAAAGATCAGCTTCTGATAATTTATAATTGTGACCTTGACAGGGAATGACCTTTGGCCTTAGGGAGCTGCCTTGTCCAAGGTTATGCCCTGACAGGAGGTGGCCCATGGACAACGATTGGCCAGGGCAGGGATGAAAGTCCCACTCCTCCTTGTCTCAACTTGGAACAATTCTAAAAGGCCATTTGAGCTCCAGAGCTCCCTGTAGGATTGGCTGAGGCCTCCGTTGTAACCACATTATCGGTCACCTTTTCTCTCTGCCCAATTCTGCCTACCTCACCTCTTTATAGGTATATCTCCTGAAAGTAATCCACCATAAATCTTCTGTATGCAGCTTTTTGTCTCAGTGTGGTTTCCAGGTAATCAGTCAAGATAGCTGGTGTCAGCAGTGGATCTTAGAAGTAGGCCAAGGAAAGATGGGTGGGACATTGACAGTTTTTACTATAAAAACCATTAATGAGCACATCAGTATAACATTTAAAACATTGTGTGGCATTTTTTGTAATAGGAAAGATACCCTCATGTAAAGTAAAACTTTTTATCTAACATCCATGAAGTCCCTGGAAGGTTGAAGAAATTCCTCCTCGTGCCGTAGTGGGAATATGCAAGGCTATGTCACTTATGCCAGCGTCCAGAACAAGAGCCATTCTGCTCCTGACTCTTCTTGCCACACTTTTTCCTGACATCAGAGGGCCTGGCTGCTCTTTCTTCCTCCTCCTAGGTAAAGTATCGCCCCGTCCAACAGCAGAGGGCAGCAAAGCCCATATTCTGATTCCAGAGACGCAGGGATTTCCCGCAGTCTCAGGGCACTGAATTTCAGAGAACTTTGATGCTAAAGACTAAAATCAATCAAGTTATGCCTAGACTGAAGATTATGAATAAGTGTCAAAAGCAAAATCCAAAAATATTGAGGAAAAAAGTCATGGAGTAAACCCAAAGCACAAGGGGAGATCAAACCCAAGATACCTTTTACCTCTCCCCACTCAGTGCCTCATTTTCTGAAACCTCTGAGCCCAGGAGTGAAATGCTTGCACTTGAGATGAGGCTGAGCCTCCATGAGCTCCTCTAGGCACCCTCCTGTTCCGTTCATTTTTGCTCCTCTTCCACCCATTGGCCAAAGTCACTCGGAAGCAAATATGACAGATCATAGTCATGATCCTTTAGGGAAGAAAGAAAGAACAATCGGCTTTTCCTTCCAACAACACCTGGTGTCCACAGTCTAAAGTTCGCTCACTTTGGCCCCATAGAATGTGTAATAATCTTACAAGAGAAATTAAAAGCATGTATCTTTCCCTATTGCCCACTGGTGACCAAGTAAATCTACATCCATTTTGCAAGTAGCCTAGCAGATTAATCACGTGAAACTAAAGTGTGTTCTAAGAATACATGCTAGGAGAGTGGACACAATCGAGGAGCAATAGCATATGAAACTCTACTCTTCTCGGGAGAGAAAAGCAAATAAAGGGAATCAAACTTCAAAGCTAGAAGGCTCCCTGAGCATCTCATTCAAACTCTCTAATCTTGCAAGTGAGGAAACAAAGTTTCAAAGAATCAAAAAATGAATCATTGACAAAGATAGACGAGAAAGCAGCAGTTGCAGGATATATTCCTATGTATGTAACTATGGTTAATTTATTTTCCTTGCTATAGTGTATTCTCTGGTTCATATAGATCATAATACATTAATGCATTTGGTTTGTGTTCAGTGTTTTACTGTTGCAAACCATGTCTTCTGTGAATCCTCATGCATATTTTCTGATACTCATGTGGAAAGCTTTCTCTAGGGAATTACCTAGAAGAGGACAGCTGGATTGTAGAGTGCTCAAATTTACAAGTTTTCTAGATAATGTCATACTGTAAGGTGGGGGTGCAGAACAATTTGCATTCCAACAAGCAGTAGGTTAGTATTCCCATTGTTCTACAGCCTTGCCAACACTTGGAATCATGTAACGTCATAATTTTTGTCAATCTGGTTGGTGTTTCATCATGGTTTTAATTTGTATTTCCCTGATTATTAAAGAGACTGAACATACAGTTGATGTGCTAAAAGTGTTACTTCCTTTGCAAAACATCTATCTAATCCTTTCCTCGTTTTTCGGTTTTCAGTCTTATTGATTTGTAGTAGTTTATTATACATTACAGATATTTCTCCTATGACTGTTACATGGATGATAAATATTTTTTGCCATATTTTGGTCTGTGTTTTCCATTTGATTATGATGGCTTTTGAAAGATGGGAAAATCTTAATTTTACTATAATAAAATTCTCAATATTTTCCTATATTGTTTGTGCTTTTTATGACTTGCTTAAGAAATTCTTTACCGTCCTGATGTCATATTCCTTATATTGACTTCAAAATTTTGATCTTTTGCTTTTCACACTTAAGCCTTTATTCTAACTAGAATTGATTTTTTGGTAGGGTGTGAGATAGAGTTCCATTTTAACTTTTCCTATACTGATACTCAACTATTTCAAAACTAATAATACATCCCCAGTAATCTTCCAGCTACCTCTGTTATGTATAAAGTTTCTGTAAATGCCATTTTCTGAGTTTTCATTCAGTTCCATTAATCGATTTCTCTATCCTTTGAACCAATACCATTGATCTATCTAATTATCCCTAACTCCATCATAATCACTATAGCCTCGTAAGAATTATTGATATCTGATAGGGTCAGTTCTTCTACCTTTTACTTCTTCAGAATCTTTTTCCTACCGTTGCCGTTTTACTCTTTCATATGAATTTTAGAATCACCTTGTCTAGACCCTGCAGAGATTTTGATTAGAATTGTATCGGATCTATAGATCGATTTTAGTTTATATTTTTGTATCATATTGAATCTTCCTATTCATGAACAAGATATGTCCCTCAACTTATTTAGAATTTTAAAACTGTCTTGCAAAAATGTTTTAAAATTTTTCCATACATTCCTTGCACATATTTGATTAGGTTTATTCTAAGTACCTTATATTTTCTTATGTTTTGATGAAATCACATTTTTTTAAATCTGTGGGCTGGTGTTCAAAGTACAATTGGCTTTTGCTTATTAATATTATATTAGGTAGCATTACTAATCTCAGTTATTAATTTTAACAATTTTCTCATAGTTGTGTTTGGGTTCTCTGTGGAAACAATGATGTTACCTGGGAATAACGATAGTTTAATTCCTCCTTTCCAAATCCCACACCCCTGCTTTATTTTTCTTATATTAGTTTTTTGGGTACGATGACCGGTTAAGAAGAGTTGATAATTAGCATCCTTGTTGTTCTCTGTATCTTTGGGGGAATGTTTTTAACATTTTATTATTGACTATATTTTCTGTAGGATTCTTTGGCAAGACACCTTTTCTCAGGTTTAAAAGATCTTTTCTATTTCTAATTTATTAAGATATATTAATAATGATAAACTGTTTAATGTCACTGAATATTCTTTTAACATTATTGAAATGATTCCATAGCTTTTCTCCATCAGTCTCTTGATATCATGTGGTAGGCGGAAAGCTGTTCACATCCTAACCCCTGGAACCGGTGACTATGTTAGTTTACACGCTAGAGTGATTAAACATAAACCTCTAGATGGAGAGATTATCCCGGATTATACAAGTGGGTCCAGTCCTATCACACGATCCTTAAAAAGTGGAAGAGAAGAGCACAAGAGAGGGTCAGAAAGATGTGGTGTTAGAAGGACTCGGCCCAGCATTACTGGCTTTGAAGTTGGAGAAAAGGAACCATGAGCCAATGCAATGGCCTCTAGACACTGGGAACAGCACTCAGTTTACAGCCAGCAAGAAAACGGAGAGCTCAGTACTACAACCACAGGGTGCTGGCTTCTGCCAACAACCTGAATGAGCAAGAAAGCGAATTCTCCTCTGGAGCCTCCAAAAATGAATGCAGCCTTGCTGGCACCTTCATCTCAGCCCAGTGAGATCTGCATCAGACTTTTGACCTTCAGAACTACAAAGTGATAAACTTGTATTATTTTAATCCACTAAGTTCGTGGAAATTTATTACATGAGCAATAGAAAATTAACATATTTGGCAAATCACATTAGTAGATTTTCTATTTTGAACCAACCTCATATATCCCACTTGGAGTTTCAGTTTACACGAGCGCTGGTTAATATTGAGCTGAAGATTCCAGAAGACAGTTTATAGCTTTCTGGGACTCTTTATCTACATACCTTCCCCATCTCCAGCATTCTTTCCCAAACTCTTTTTCTTTTGTCTCATTCACTGAGTGAGAACACATATCCTGTTGTGATCCCCTCCCTACACCATCGTCCAGAAAATGTAATGTTCTTAAGGATTATATTCCTGTACTACCTGTTTCTCTGTATGTAAAAGTGGTATTTTCAAATTTCTTGTTGTTTATGGCAGGAAGGTAAATCTCTTCCCAGATACGGCATTATTGCCCTGTGTTATGGTGCCTCCACTCCCTCCTCAAGGAAGATTAGCCCTGAGCTAACATCTGTGCAAACCCTCCTCTAGTTTTTTAGATGTGGAACACCTCCACAGTGTGGCTGGTGAGTGGAGTAGGTCTGTGCCCAAGATCCGAACCCACAAACCCAGACCACTACAGCAAAGCATGCAGGACTTTAACCAGTTGGTGACGAAGCCAGGCCGAATTTTTTTTTTTTTTTTTTTTTTTTTTTTTACTTTACGACTATGCATAGACCACAGGCTGATAAATTTCTCCTTCATTCTCTTTGAATGGGGCAATTCCCACTCAGCTGGCTATTTTCCCCAAAATAGTATAGGAGGGATATTTTTGACTGTCTTCCTTATTAACTCAAAAAGTCCCTTCAGCCTCCTCCCTTAGGAATTGAGTGAAAAGTTGGATGTTGGATGAAGAATTTATCTGAGAGGAAATTTCTGGGGCTTGGGGAATATTCGACTGTGGAGTTCTGTTTCTGAGTTTCTCCGTGAACGCAGGAACATCTTCACTGTTTTTTAGCGTATGCTTTATGCTTTCAAGTTTGGGGAACGTCCACGTCTTGGATTTCAGCACATAGTCACTTGTCAGTTGCCCACTTTGGTGAGAAGATGAGTAGCAATGAATCATCTCCTTCTTCTTTTTGGTGGATAGCTGTATAATTTCTCCTGAATTGGGCCTATTGCTGAAAAGTCAGCTCACGTCCATATATCATCTCTCCTGTTTGGAAGCTGGACCAGAGAAGACAATGGTAAAGTATGTTCGTGCTGTTTCTCTCCTTGCCCCACCATCTCTGCTAATCTGTAAAATTGAAACGAACTAAATTTTTTCCCTGCCCTTTATGTGGCCTATTTATGTTCCAGTCTCATTACCTCCAATCACAGAGATATTACTGGGGGCCTTCAGAAATCATTATCCTTTTCCCCACACTAGGTTCAACTTTGATCTTAAGGAGAGTTGTTCTTTGTCAACTTCAGGCCAGATTCAATTTGATAAAAATAAAATTGCATCTTACAGATATTTTTCAGAGATTGTAGTGTGAGATTAGGGACCTTTCTTAGTTGTAGCACAGCTGAGATTTTCTATTTCGTTTCAATGTGATGGTTGGCAGAGCTTTCTGTAAATGTACAGTTACTTTACCACACTTTCTGAACAAAAAGCAAAGCCTTCCAAAATCTTCAGAAATAAAGCATAAATTCTTCTATTTGCCTTCACATCAATGCTGCCTTCCCATCACTGCAGCCAGTTGAGACAGGGTCACTTCTTTTCCCTCTCAAGTCTTTGGTTCTGGGTTCCTCTGGGGTAACTTGTCTTTTTCTGTAATTAAGTCAACATGATTATCCACCAGCAGTTCTTTCAAGGTTATTCACTATTATAACATTGGTATTTCCAAAGAGACTGAAACGTGGGAGAAAATGGTCTTTAAACAGACTAGAGACATTTAATTGAGATTCACTGTGCACATTAAAATGCAAATATTTGTGGTCTTCATTGTAAGAAAGCACACTACTGTGTAATATAATATTTAACAGGGCCCTCAGAAATGCCCTCAGCACAGTGCAATTAAGAGCACATTCAAGAAAAATGTGCTTTTCACCAGGATAGAAAATATTTCTGATTAGATATGGAGAGTGAAATGAAATCAGAGCACCCTGGTTTAGTGTGATCAGTTACAAAGACATTCTTATAATTGATTCATTATGGGGAATCCAAACTAAGAGAGAAATCTCTGAGCGATCTGAGAATTCATCCCCTTTCTGTTAGACAGCATGACTAGGATGTTAAAATACTCTCCTTCTACCTGTAATTACAAAATGTAACCAGAACATGCTGTGAGTTCTTCCATCGATATTTTAAATCTATTCCTTTAAAAAAAAAAGATAATTTAGAAATAGGTGTGCTTCACCTTAGTCCAAAGTCAAGCAAATCTTTAATAAAGACAGCACTGTCTAGTGTCACTGATCATCTACTCTGGATCCTTTTAGCTCCTTCTCTTCAGCCAGCCTGCTCTCTGGAAATGCATCCTGAGAAAGCAAGCTGGGGAAAATAAGATGCTAAATCATACTTGGTTCTGAAGCTACAGGTTTAGGTGTATTTGAGGGTTCTTGTTGGCTTTGATGATTCCAGAGGAACTGGTCACCTGAGAAAAGTGTTTATATATATAGTTTGCGTCTTCTAATTTTGTGGTTCTAATTCAAGCTTGGTTTTTTTTAGGATCATATATTTTAAGAATCATTTTTACATATCTTGCCTAGGGACTCCTGTAGGTCAGGAAATATATTTTTTATGGCTTCATATCTTCAGTGCCCAGGACCAGATCTGGGGCATTGTGGAGACTTCTTTTTTTCGCTTACGTAATTAATCAAGTGATTTCTGGCTATCCTGTCCTCCTTAAATCTCATTGTATAGATAAAAAGTTACCACTAAGAAGCACAAGCCCCATTATATGTGAAAAAGTCAAAGTTGGGGGCATGTGCTGCGTTAGGATTAGATTTTCTAAATCAATATATACCAAACATAACAAAAATAGTCTACCATAGAGGCAGAATGAGAAGACAGATAATATCCTCTATAATGGAATTAATTCAATTCTCAAATAAAATCAATAGATCACAGATCCTTACTGCTGAAAGGGGTCTTGGAAGCCATTTAGTCCATGAGGATTATTAATTTATCAGTGAGAAGCTAATTTGTGCCAGGCATCTTGCAAGAATCAAAGATACAATGGTGAATCAGAAATTGTCCCCACCCTCACTGAGCAGCTGAGTGCTATGCAAGTATCAATGCATTGATTTAACCTATATAATGGCAAATACTGATTGTCAATGAAGTGGCCAAAGAATCTGGACCAGACTCCATCAGCAACTAGCTATGAATATTTGGATTTTGTTCATAATTACTTTGAAACTGATTTACTCATTTGAAGAAGCAAAATTAAAAAGGGGTTACGGAGGTGTTTTAAGCTTAAGGCAAAGGACTAGGTGTGTGAGATTGCCTCTCTCTTCCTGAGATCCCACTAAGATAAGGCATAAAAGAAAAAAGGAATAAACTAATAGTGACAAAGAGAAAGAAGTGGGAGATAGAAATGCTATTGATAAATAGTTGTAAAAATTCTGAAAGAAAATTGTAGATAGGAGTAGGTTGACAGACAAAATTGGTGGAGAAGTTGACAGCATAGAATGTGCCATGAGAGAGCCACCAAGGAAGTAGCAGCCAGTTTACCCAAAGGACCTCAAAGAGCTACTGAGCTCAGACTAGCACATATGTTGGCAAGCAGGAATAACGAGTTGAGTAGGAGAAGGAACAGTTGAACAATATATGGGACAACTGCCCAAAATGTTGTGTGGTGTTCCCCTCCCCTCCCCAGCAGGCAGAAAGCAGGAAGTAAATATTTACTATAGGAAATACATCATGTGGAAATTTCTAAAGAAATTAAATTAAATGGCTTGGATAATTTAAGTTTTCTACCGTTAAGTGTGGAGACTCTAGACTACAACTTTATTCTCTCTGACGTTAGGGTAGAATGGAATCTGGCAACCAGATTCCAGCCCTCTCATCCTAGAGTTAACCTTAATCATTAACACGTTCTACCTTGAGATGCTAGTTGTCACTCCCATCCTGGCGAAAGCCCTAGCCAGCAAAGAGACTGATTTCAGAGATGCTTGAAGACAAACATCCCAGAGAAATAAAATAAACATGGCTGCAGATTTCTTTTCAGAAACAATGCAAGCTATAAGACAGTTGAGCAACATCACTGAAGTTCTGAAAAGCAAAATCTAGAATTATTTATCGCGTAAAAATCTTTCAAAAATGGAGGCAAAATAAAGATCTCCCATACATATAAAAGCTGAAAGAATTAGTCACCAGCATATCTATACTACAAGAGATGTTGAAGTATGTCTTTCAAGAAGAAAGAAAATGATATCAAATAGAATCTGGCTCAGTGCAGAGGAGTAAAAAAGCACCGGAAATGGTAACTACACCAGTAGATGTAAATACGATTTCCCTTATTATTTAAATATATGTAAAAGACAATAGGCCACTTAAAGCAAAAGTAATAACTATATTTTTGAATTTGTGATCTATGTATAAGTGAAACATAGGACAGCTATAGCAAAAGACCAGGAGGGGAGAAATGGAAGTATGCTATAGTAAAGTTCTTATACTGTAAGGGAAGTTGTATAATATCACTTGAAGGGAGTTACAAATTAAACACACATATTATAAACTCTAAACCCTAAAACAAACACCAAAATAATACAACAAAGACATAGATAATATCCAACAAAGATGATAAAATAAAATCGTAAAACATACTCAATCTAAAGAAGGCAGAAAAAGAGGGAAAATAGAAGAACAGATGGGACAAAAGAAAAATTCCAATGGCTACATTCTTAAAGAAGGATGAAAATGACTTGAGGTAGATATGAGTGATGAGGCTGATGTAGCTGATGGGCAACAAACTCAAAAAGCAGGGGGCTAAGACAAGATGGAGGAATGATATCTTGGAAGTAGTAATGAGGGTCTAAGAAAAATGTCAATCTTATTTCTGGGACACTTGGACCAAAATATGATCTAAGTGTTGAGTTGGCAGACATTAGGAGACCTCCTAATACATCTCACTTTGGATATAGGATTGGACCTACATTCTGGTAATAGGAAGCTCCTAATATCTCTAAACTGAAAAAGAAATTCAAAAATCCTTTTTTATAAAGTTCCAGGAAACAATTCTCCAATTGTGGAGCCCTCAGGCCTTAAGCAGGGCCACAGTGGTGGGACCAGAAGGACCAAGATCATCAGAAAGACACTATTGGGGCTGACTGGCTAAGACCTGGTATCCCCACTGGAATACTGGAAATCCCAGCCCGGGAGGATTTCCATGTCCAAAATATCTGCTCATGAATGTTTCACATGTCCTCTTCCTGCTCTGGCCTTTACTCTGGGAACATGAGTTATCAACTCCCCAGAACCATGGACAGGACAGCTGCAATCTGTCAGCCTGTGCTGGCAGCTTGCCCCAAAGCCATTGGCTTCTCCCACAGTCTGGGAAACAGACGTTAGATGTGGCTTCATATGATCCTTCTATTGGAAGACTTGGGCCATGGGGAAACAGTCTTTCATCCAGATATTTTAGCGCATAGCACTGTGTGTGATGAGGTGGATGCAGAACTTGCAGCTAAATCAAGCCCCTGATATCAGCGTAAATCTGTACTCTCAGCTTCCCCACATTCACCATAATTAGGCCTAATACTCCACAGGGGACTGCTTTCTTCTTGATCATGTCTGCAGGTCCTGTGGAATCAAAAGTAGGATGTCAGATGTGGATAGGGATTTAGAAATCTAGTATAATACCCTCATTTTATAAAGGGAATTGGAGGCACAGAAGAGTAAGAGTCTTGCTGAACACACCTAAAGGGGAATATCAGACTAGAACCAATAACCCCGGAGCTCTAGGCTGAAGCTATGCCTAGTCTCCTTGACATTTAAAAGACCACATGACCATGAACCCAGGACTATGAGCCTCATCCAGGGAGCTTCCCTAGAGGGCTCCTACCCCATACAGCTAGCCCCCTCTCATCAGGTCTGCTAGCTTTTTGAGATTACTTAGGATCTCTGTGGGTTGCATGTGGCACATCCCAAAATTTTAACTGCACCAGACACAGTTCTCACTATGACTGAAGCCATTTCCCATTATTGGTCTCTGTGACCTTTTCGGAATCGAAACTGATAAATGTCACTGGCTGTGGGAGGTGACTGACAGGCAGGAGTCTGCCAGAGAGTTGTCATAGGATGAGTGACAGCTGAGGGCCTGTAACCTTTTCCCATCAAAACAGGGAGACAGAAAAGAAAAAAGCAACCAAGTTGCCTGGAGCATATTGAAGTATCTGTGATTCAGAGCAGGGAGGTCAGACTTGGAGTCTATGGACTTGGAGAAGGAGATGAAACAAGGCAGGTGGATTCATGGGGAACCGATGTCAGAGCCTCGCTAAGCCAGCACTGCAAAGAGAATCATATGGGAAGGCACACACCTTTCCTTGAAGAGTTCACTGTCTAAGCAAAGTGACAACAGCATTGGTACAGACCTCGGCCATGGCACTTGTCTTGTGATTTCCTTTAGGATAGGGACTATCTTTCATGAAAATGTGCCTTAGAACTCTAAGGAATGTGGCTGATGTCATCTATCATAGGTCACTTCAAAATATTAGTTCCAGGTTTGTGCTAAGTGTTAGGGGGCAAGAATGAATGAGACAAACATGCAAATATCGTCTCTATCCTCACAGAGTTTACTTTGCGGGAGGTGTGTATGCACATTTATATTTACACATGTAATGTATGCTCAGTACACATACAAATATGAGCTGAATTAGTGCATAGCCTTCATTCAACTGCTGCGTTGGGAGACGATTCTAAAGATTTCACTAAAGCAATGTAATACAGTGTAATAGAAAGAGCAAAGGCTTTGAAATTTGAGCCCTGGCCCTGCCACTCACTGTTCACATCACTTACGAAATTATTTAATTTTTCAGGTTTCCCCTGTGCCATCCAACTTCCCCACTCACCATCTTGTTTCGGGGACCATCCTGTGAAGGCACAGCATAAACCTCGAAGAGGGATGTTTCAAGCATTAGTCAGGGAGCAAGGATGACTCTGTGGCCCTTCAAGGTGTCTGTGAAACCAAGGCAATGAGAAAGTATGTGCGGGAGACATCTGCATGGGCACACCCCAATAACCTGGAAATAAGGGAAATATGATTGCCTTCTGGCACTTATACTGTGAAGTCAACACAAAATGGGTCATAGCAGAGTCCTGCAGAGCCGCCTTAAGGAAGTGGAATGCCTTCCAGGTAAATGCCTACCTGGCTAACTGAGGGCACCTGCATTTCCTCAGAAGGGAATATGGTATGCCTCCAAACCATAACAAAAGTGAAGTCGCTAAGGAACTGCCTTTGGGAGAGGGGACATTGGGTGGCTGATGGGCCTGTGGGTCTCTCTACTCTGTCAGGCAGGTAAATCCCCAACACAGACACAGACAGTTGGGAGCTTGATTCTCTTGCATTTTCTGATAATTTGCCTAAGTTTTCATGTTTTACATGCACTGATCTGATCTTCCATCAATTCTGCCCTCTAAATAACTCAAATGTGACCCCTTCCACCATTACCTTTGCCACCACCACAGTTCAAGTCACCCATATTTCTCACTGCAGCAGCTTCCTAACATCTCCCTGCCTCCAAGCCATTCCACCCCCGTCTCCATTCCAGTTGTGTTTTACACTGCAGCCAGAAAGATCTTTCTAAATCGTGAATTTTAGGTTACTTTCTGCTTAAAATCCTTCAATGGTTTTCTGTTATGTTCAGTATAAAATCCAAATGTTTTGACATGGTTTAAAAAGGCTTCATAAGCTGGCTCCTGCCAAGCTCTGCACTATCATTTCACACCTGCTCTCCCCTCCCAAGGAAATCTCCTGCCATATAGTGCAAACAGGCCCGCTTCCCTGTGGTGCCCTCCCCTCCCTCTCTTTCCTGGCAATCTGTCCTGTGCTCCTCCATTCTCCATATGATGTCGCTTTCCCTGAACCCTAAGGCCTGGGCTGGACGCTCCTTCACAAGTTCTCAGAGCACCAGCACCTGCCCTCACCTTGCATTTATTACATCAGATTGAATGGCTGCTTACTCTACCCATTATCAACTAGACTGTAACACTTTTAAGTGAAGAAACTATGGCTTCACCCCCTGTGCTCCAGGTTCTTAATCTGAAAACTAGAGATGATTCTAGCAATGACCTCATAGGGCTATAGTGAGAAGCAAAAGAACTAATATATATAAAGTGCTTAGAAGAGTTTCTGACACAGAGTTAGTAAGAAAGTATATATAAGTAACCACACATATAAAATACAGAAGAATACTTCCATATTGTGATTGCTATTATTATTACTAGTGCATTGTATTATTATTATACCTCTTTCCTGCTATAATTTTAGAAAATAATATAGTGCACATCAAACAGGAGTCTCTCAATAAATATTTGCTGAATATGAGAATTTGTTTCATATATAACAAGCAACCATCTGATTTTTAATTGACTTCCCTTGTCACTGATTATTGGGAAATTTTAACCTAGCCAGGACAGCAAAAAAAAATCTTGTACAATTGACAACCGTATTTTTCACAAAAGACGTCAGTAAATGGTCATTTTGGCTTTAAATATCAGTATCTTATAAGCTTTATTAGTATAAATCAGCCTCCCCAAGCCTGATTGACTCTGGGGTACTGAATTTGAGATGCTTATGAAACCACTAATGATAACACCACTGTTTAAGGTTTTGTCTGGGTGGCCAAAGGAACCAAGAGGATTATCTGTACTCTGAAATCACACTTTTCCCAAATATCCCATGGTAAGGACTTATTCTGCAGTTACCTCCACTGTCTGCTGGCTTGTCTGTAAAAAGGAGGAGAAATTGCAGAAAAGCATGAACAGGTAAGAGCTCCACTCTCTAAACTACTCGTTAACGGAGAAGGATTGGAAGGTATGGGCTTGGTGTTTGGGCAATGGGAGGTGCAGGTCACATGACAGGGCTGGAGGCAATGTGGCATAAAGGTGGGAGCATGGCCAGAATAAGTGTGAGCATCAAATCTAAAACTAAAGAGCTGTGAGAGGCAGGGCCTGTGGCCTAGTGGTTAAGTTTGGCAGGCTCCACTTCGGCAGCCCAGGTTCTGTTCCCAGGCGCAGACCTACACCACTTGTCATGGGCCGTGCTGTGGCAGCGACCCGCATACAAAATAGAGGAAGATTAGCAACAGATGTTAGCTCAGGGTGACTCCTCCTCACCAAAAAAATAAATAAATAAAATTTTAAAATAAATAAAACTAACTAGCTGTGGACACTGGAAATGATAATGACTAACCTTTATTGAACACTTCTCATCATATTGTGAAGTATTTAGACCACCTAGGGGGATGCTTACTGTTAGTAAACATACAATGCAAGTGACACACTAGGAGCTTAATATCCCAGAAATCAAGTAGCCAGTAAGAAGCAGAGCAAGGACGCAATCCCAGGAAGATTGACCCCAGGGCTCACGCTCTTCATCCATGATCGCTTGGTTTTCCTCTCTCTAAAATGAGCCTATTACCCGTGTGCTGCGGGATTATTGTGATCATTACAGAAAAGGGATGTGGCAGGCACATGATAAATGGTGGCTATATATACTTAGACAACCCTGGGATCTCCAGAAAGATCATTTACCCCTGTGGTTTCAGGTTTCCCATGTACAAAATGAAAAGGATAGAGTAGTCAACTCAAAGTCTAAGGTTACAGCTTACATCTGACCAAGAGCAATATGCTTCCCTCTTACTGAAGCACCAGTCTAGCACCATTGTCCTCAGAGGCATCAGAGCCTGCAAGGGTCAAGCCTCCTCCACAGCCACCTGCGACTCCCCTAACAGCTGTGCCAGCTGAAAGAGAATCACTACATGCTGCCTCATATTGGCTGTCCCTTCATTTGCTAAGCTATCTTTAAAGGAATGAAGAACTCAGAGTATAGAAAGAGGAATGAAGCAAGCATTACAAGACAGAGAACTGGACAACAGTCCCCATCCATATACTGATTAGTGATCCTCACTGTAAGCTTGGAAATAGGCAGCTCCCTGCCCTGGCAAGAAAACTCACCTCTGAAGTGTCTTCTGGCAAATCTAATTAAGTAAGCTAGCCAAGAAGCTAAATTGCACAGATTTCACCTGACCCTGACACTTTCTAGGGACTGTCCTAACTTCTGGATGCCAACGGCACACAAGTTCTTCTCTGAGTTCTGTGGATAGTTTTGAATCTGGGAAAATAAACGTCCCAGAGCAGAACATTGTCCCAACAACCCAGTAACCCAGGTGGGTCCTGGCTCAGAGAGGAAAAGGGAGGTAGAGTTTGGAGCAAGAAGGCATCTGTCTGCAGTGTTCTCACCTCCACCCACTTACCCACCTACGCAAGACTGCCCTTGAGCAGTCAACTCAGGCGAGACTGATTCTGCCTCCTTCCCAGGGTGAGGACAGCTGCAGCTTCCACGGGAGCACATTCTCACGCTGCAGTCATGCATGTCTTTACAGGAAAGAAGAACTTTCCTTAATTTTTGTGAGAATTTTGTGATGTTTTACGCTTCAGAGTTAAGGATAATTTCATTGTTACATTCAGCAATGCAATTTAATGATTTGGGGAATGATTGTTGCAGAGCTTGGCAAACAAAATAAGCCCCTTTTGCCTTGTTGATGGATAATAAAGTTCTCCCCAGTGCATTTTCTTCCTTTTGGATACTTTGAATAAAACTCTAAAAACAGAACCCAGATTTATAGTAGTCATCCCTCAGGTTTTCACAAAACGTCACCATCTTCTTCCATGTCATTTTCCTCACTGAAGCAATGTTGAATACAGGGTTTGCTTAATGAATGTAGCACACACAGATCTTAAAGTAAGAAGGAGAATTAATATTGGTTGCATATTTATCATGTGTTGCCCCTAATGAGAGGTTACACTTAACCCTTATAACAATCTTGTGTGTGGGGGGGGAACTGTTACCTTCTTTGTGTAGATGAGAAAACTGAGGCTCAAAGAAGTGAGTAGACTTGTCCAGGATCATGCAGTTGGTCAGGGCAAATTCAGGCTTGGGACTCAGGTCTATCACCACAGACCATGCTCCTATCCTACCCTAGTGAATGAATGCAGAGCTTAGCGCAGCATCACCAAAGGCAGTGAAGTCCACCTTGGGGGCAGGAGGGAAGATAAGATACTCATTGCCTTAGAATGGGCATCTTATCTTTCCTCTTGCCTCAAGATGTAGCTATAGATATATAGATACATATCTTTTCCACTGAGGTGTGATTGGATATTCAACAATATAATAATATGTATAACATAGTATATATAATAATATAGGCATTATTGTATACATGTGTATATTTGTACAATGCATAAGGATATTATAATGTGTAATTGTATATGCATATACAATTATGCCTCAGTGGAGAAGAAGGCCTGAGTATGACGGGTTGGCCGTGGGTGAGGGAAATGAAGGTGGATGGCCCACCAGGATAAGTGTTACAAGGAGGGTTGTTGAAAGTTATATTACAAATAATTATGGATATGTCCACTAACAATTTGACAACTGTGACCCTACGGAGGAGCCTGGTGATTAATGTCAGATTCCTACAGGGGTTCTTTCCATCAGGGGTTCTGTAAGCATTAGAGAAGGTAGCTTTGCTTCCCTTTTCCACATATTTCCCTGAAGTTCTTTAATTTCGGCTTGGTTTGGTGGCCACTGCAAGGAAAACACTTAGGAAGGGTGTTGGGAGGGGAATTAAAAGCTGGAACTCGGTGAATTTAATCTGATATGATGTCTCCTATGATTCCATGTGGAGAGACTTCCCTCTCCACAGAGGCAGAAATAATTTATGACATCCATTTTGCTATCTGGAAGGCTCCACATAGCTTTATATAATGGCTCCTGTTGTCTTTATAGATTTTTTTTCCTAGGGAACATTTTAATCTAGCTAGAGTAAATAATATCAGTCACATTGCTCATATAATCATTATTGGCCTGGGTCTTTCTTCGATTGATTTTTAAATATTGTTTTCTAGGCTGGAGGCAGCAGAGAGGAGTAGAAATAACAGGGGCCTGAACAACGGAAGTTTTGGGTTCTCAGTCTGATGATATGCTCACTGTCACCCCAAACTACCACATCTTCGGGTCGTTGCTCCATGTAGAGTGCTCCTCTCCCTGAAAGCGTAGACGAGAGACATGGAGTAAAGTGTGGGCTCTGGAGCCACTGCCAGGACTGGAAGCCTCGTTCTACCCCTTTCTAGCTGTGTGATCATGGGAACATTAGAAAACCGCTCCTTGCTCCTATTCCCTAACCTGTAAAAGATAACCATAATTAAACATACCTTCCTGGTACGTTGTGAGGACTTAATGCACAAATTCATATAAAGTTCTTTGAAGAGTACCTGCATTATGACAATGCTCAAAAATGTTAGCATTTATTATAATTAGACCCCTCCTCCATTCCAAAATGCCCCTCATTGCACGCTTAGCGAGCTCCTACTAATCCTTCAAGTTTCTGCTTAAATGTTTCCTCCTCTAAGAAGCCTTCCACAGCCATCCCTTCCTCTCCCTAAACAGGGTTGATACTTCCCCTTCTCTGATCCTTCTCATGGGAATTTGTTTATCCATTCAGTCAAGAAATATTTATAGAGCTGAGGCTGTGCTAGGCACTGTTAATACAGAGTTGCCTAAGAGTTAGCCACTGTCCCCACATTGCACACAGTCTAGGAAGACATGACAAGCTCTGTAATAAGGTAGCACTCAGCACAAAGGAGGTTTCCTGCTCAGAGGTCGGTCATTTCTCAAACTGTATAAAACCCAAGGGCAATCTCTGAGACTGTATTAGCTGTGTCTAGTTTTTCCTCTCTTTTCTTTTTCTCCACTTTGGTTCATTCCCCAAACTTTCATTTTACTTTCCACTCTCCCTTCCTTTTTTCTCTTACCCTTCTTTCCTGTCTCTTGGGTTTTATTCTCTCCTTTTCTCTCACTGGATCTGCACTGCATGTGGAAGAAGGAGAGCGCCTGGGGCAGTCTTCCTAGAAGAGATAGTACCCAAACTGGTCCTCAAGGCGGAGGGAGATTTAGATAAGGAACTGAGGAGTAAGGGGCGCAGATGGAGCAGGAAGGAACAGGCAGAAGGAACATCAAATGTGAGGTGTCTGAGAAGAAGGCATGAAGAAAAGCACGTGCAACGATGGTATTTACTGAAAAATGCATGAATTTCAGGCAAGTCTGGGATGTCCCAAGGTGAAGTGGGATTGATGAGAGAGGGGGTAATTCGGGCATTCCACAATACGATTGGATTGTATTCTCTATGGGATGGGTTCTAAATTGAGATTCTAAGGAAGAAGTTGACATGATTCTCTTTGCACGTTAGAAAGATCACTGTGTGTAGGATGGATTGAAGGAGACTAGCTTGATTCAGGCCATGAAGTTATGCTACTGAAACCATCTGAGCAAGAGGTGCTAATACGTCGAGGATGTTGGCAAGATGGTGCAGTGGTTAAGCATGTAAGCTCTGCTTGTTCCCTGGGTCCTAATCTGAGTTCTGCCATTCACAGATGCCAAGCGAAGAGGTGACTGTCAATGTCTTACACTCCCCACCAAACTTCTTAACACTTGAAAAATGGGCTTTTGTTTCAGGTGGTCAACTCCTTACCATAAAGAAACAAAGAATCAGAGATCTGCACAATAGTTTACCATCTGAGTTCATAGGTAAGAAACACTAGGCCTACATATTTATTTATTCATTTATTGGTTCAATATACTTGTACTGAAAGCCTGCTATGTGTCAGGCACTGGATGAGAGTGGCATATCAGAGACCAAGACAGACCAAGTTCTTGTCCTCTTAGAGTCCACATTAGTGATGGTAAAGCACACAAGAAACACATGAATGTAAATTATTATATCAAGTAGTGATACATGCTATGAAACAATAAAGGTAAGGGGATAGAGTTTGATTAGAGCGGCAAATTTGTATAAGACAGACAGGCAAGGCACCTATGAGAAGGAGAAATTTGATCTTGAATGAAGAGAGACAGCCATGCAAATGTTGGGAAGGAGTGTTCCAGACTGAAGGAATGGCAGGTGCAAAGGGCCTGAGGC